TGTTTTCGATTTTAGGAGACTAAAACAATTTCATGTGGAGATGGAAAAATGCTCAGCTTCTCTCTCGCATTGGTGCCAGCTGTAGTATAGCGTACTGTTGTAGGTGCAGCCAGTTTAATGCGGAGTCTGGCTTGCCGCTTAGAACTCTACGGACGGTTTTGAGATCACACTTGTACTTATGGGCGATGGCAGTAATGTCGAGATTCCCGCTATATGGCCCCCTCCTCTGCAAGTAAACCTTCGCATCGGCTTTGATGGTGTTTACGATGTTGCCGGACAGCGAACGCGCTGTCCAAATAGAAAAAAGTTGGCAATATGCCCAAACGTTTGTATTTTAATGTAGTAAAACGTCCACTGGCACATTGGGCAGTAAATAACGATACCGTCATTTTTTTCTTTCGAAAACCCAAAATATTACAGCTGAAAAACAACCAAATTAACTTTGGCCACTTCTTTGTGCATAACGACGCTGACCACGTTTTATTCTAGAAAGATCTGGATGTTTTTCAGACGAAACAAACACATTAAAATTTAATGGCTTTTCGCCGAAACACATCTAAATAAAAATGTATTGGCTTCTGGCCACTTTTTACTACCACTTTGGCTGAACACTCTGAACACGTTTTTCTATTTTGTCGATCATCCGTTTGACGCATCCGGTGGCGACCGGGCACGACCATGTCCATTTCCTATCAATGACGACTCGTACAGGCTTGTGCAGTCGATGCAGACAGATCAGGGAGTGACAGAAAGTAGTGTCGCCCAATGCGTAGAAGGCCAGGTCAGTCCTCTTAACAGCATCGTCCTCAAGTCTGTTGGGTAGCGCATCTCTCACATTGGTGTCAGCTGCAATAAAGAGTACTGTTGTAGATTTAGCCAGTTTAATACGGAGTCTGGGCTTGCCACTCTACGGACGGTCTTATAGCCCTACCGACCCTAGTATTTATGTGGCAAGCTTAGACTTTTCATGTAAAAAAACATTCAAATAAAAGTGGCTACTTTGTATTACCGCTTTACTGGACGTTCTGAACACGATTTGCAATCCAAACTTTGGCTGTTTTCAGACGATTTTATATCACGGTAGGGCGATTTTGCCCTAACCCCATCTGTGGGGCTAATCCACTACGCGATATACAATAGAATAGAAGAAGGATGATTTTTTTTTAATTTTCAACTCTGTTACAATTTTTTAAGTTGTTGCGTTGCTTCTTCGACTTCACAAAACATGACACGGTGGTCTCGTATCAAAATCGCGTGAGGCACTGAAAACATCAGAATTCGTCGTTTTCAAGCTGGTCCCTTGTCTAGGCTTACCACTTCACAACGTAATTGCCAGGGCAATAAACTCAAAACAAATCTGAGCGTACTAGTGCTACTCACAAGTCCGACACCAGCGTCGTTGCAGAATTCTTTAACTTGAGCTACTAGACGGAGATGATGTAGTTATTGTGTTCAGGCCTTGAAAACCAACCTCGGTGTCTACGACAGTCGCCATGGGCTGCAATTTGCCAACACGTCTAAGTCGTTCCTGGGGTAACATTCGTACAGCGAAAGACACGGCTTCAGAGTTGCGACTTGTGGCGACCAGATTGTCAAAAGCAAATTTCTATCCGGCCGGGAAATTGCCGCTTCTCACAACAAGATGAGCGCTATCGATGATGCCATGGAAGAACTGAAGAGGCAGGTTCCCGTCTACGACGAGATGAACGGAAGGCATTATCCGCATCATCGACAACGTGCTCTTCGGGACACTTGGCAAGAAGAAAGCAAACCAGGACGATGACTCAGTAGCCAAAACTATCGATACCGTGGACGTAGTGGTAAAGCTGACGTTTCGGACAACTTTCAGTCTTAAAACGTCAGATTTCAGTCGCCGAGAAATCACTGTCGCCGTCGCTAGAAGAGTGCGCAAAAGATGTGGTGGAAGACGTAGTGATCAAGCTTAAAGGAACCTCCGCCACTCGGAGTATATTTTGAACTCGATGACAAAGCCACTGAAGCTAAGGACGTTAGCAGTTAAAAAGTTGTTAAAGTAGTCAGCGATGTTGAAGAAGTACTTAACCTCTTACAGATTGCAATCCCTGGAGAAAAACGCAACGAGAGCAAGGAATTCATGTAACGGATTCAGTACTTTCAATGATTTCAAGGCTAAACGGGGATACTACCGGTTCACCGACGACATGTTATTTGACTTGCTGAGGGACATGAAACCAGAAGCAGAACTCGCAACATTGTTTCAATTACTTCGACAAACCCCGGCATGAAGAAGATTGGTGACGAAATACAAACGTACATGGTCTTGAGCTTAGCCTCCAATCAGAGACTGTGATTGAAGTGTGGCTAAAGTCCAGAGACCCCGTCCCCAGGAAGTTTTCAACACCTTGAGTCTTAAAACCGTACACCGTAGTCATCTCGATACCACCCCGCTCGTCGTCCAGTGGGTCAGATACGTCAACCTCAACAGGACCGAAATGGGTATAGAGGCATTTTCTGACGTTCATGAATACAAGGTTTTTGTCGGGAATGAGACCAATTATGAGAGAACGAGGGTTGGAGCAATTTTTTAATCGTTCAAGGATATTCTCGATCTTAAGTCACTTGCTACGAGACTACCGATCCACCATGGATGGTGAAAAAGTGGACCCCGGAGTTCCAATTATCTCAATTCTCATCTTACACCACTGATATCGTTCTCAAGAAGGATCCTGAATTTCGCACCCTAGAAGCTTATTCGTTGTCAGGGCTCCCCAATATGCAATGTCAAATGTATTTAGTCCTCACAAAGCAATTAAATAATCATTCAATTATGCAGTCTCCAGTTGCGCATTT